CCTGTTGATGGGACTGAGGAGCAGCGATTGCTTCTTTCCTCCCTGGGAGGACCGATGTGGGGGCCGTCAGGGAGTGGGAAGCATGCCCAGAGGGAAAAGGGTGTGATGAGCAACCCCAAGCAGTGGGGCTGTAGCAGTTGCTCGTCTAATTAACCTGTTGTTCAAAGATCAGCCTGAGTCCAGCCTCCTCCAGGAAGCCTTCCCTGACTTGCCAATCTGTCTTCTCCTAACATCTGGTCTCGGGGTTCACTAAGCACATGTTCCTCTGAGATCTCGTTCCAACTGTTGTCGGATATTCACTGGTACTGAATGAGTAATGTCCCAGGCAGGGTTCTAAGTGCTGGGGACACAATAATGAGCAAAGCAGGCAAAGATCCCACATTCATAGGAGTGTGTATGTGTGCGTGTGCAAGAGAGAGAGAGAGAGAGAGAGAGAGAAGGAATCAACATAACCAGTCAACTAGTCACTTAGATCACTTAGTATGCGAAAATATAAAAGCTATAGAAGACATAGAGCTGGCTAATGGGGTCAGAACTGTAGGCACGGGGGATGGAGCTTTAGATGGTGTGGTCAGAAGAGGCTTTACTGAGCAGGTGGTATTTGAACAAAGACTGAATGGTTCTTTTGCATTTAGCACCTTGTGTTCATGCTGAATGGTTTGGGATAAACTTTTCCCATGATTTTTTTAAAAGCTTAAAATAGATTTACTCATTTATTCAACAAACATTTGCTGAAGATCTGTTTGGCTTCTATTCGTCCTTTGGGTCTCAGCTCAAATGTCAGTTCCTTACAGGGGCAGGCCCTGAACACCTTTCATTGTCTTCTGTTGTAATATATATTCTAGTTTAAAATAAAAATGGACTATTTTAAAATTGTATTTAAAAATTTTTAATTGAAAATATTTAGGCTTTTAAAAAGAAATTTAATTCTATTTAATTTTTAGGATAGCATCTTTCATGACCAGGACTTACCTAATATTTACCTGATTAGCAAGACAGGGATCTTATCTATTTTGTCTACCAATGAATTCTCAGTGCCTCACACATAATATGTGCTTAATAAATGTCCCTGCATAAATGAATATACTAGGGACCACAGTGACTGTAGTGTTATAATAGGCTTTGGCCTTTGAAGAATTAGGTTCATACCATCCAGCAGTCATGTTCCTTGGTATTTTGCTCAAAGGAGTTGAAAGCTTATGTCCACCAAGATGTCCTTCAGCAGGTGAGTGATTAAATAAACTGTGGTCCATCAGACAATGGAGTGTTATTCGGCACTAAAAAGGAGTAAGCTGTCAGGCCAAAACAGACCTGGAAGAACCTCACATACATATTACTAAGTGAAAGAGGCCAGTCTGAAGAGGCTGCACACCACACCATAGGATTCCAGTGATAGGATATTCTGGAAAAGGCAAAACTTTGGAGACAGTAAAAGATTGGTTGCCAGGGATTGGGCAGAGGAGGGATGGATAGGCAGAGCAGAGAGGATTTTTTGGATGGCGAGAATACTCTATAGGGCACCATAATGGTGGATCCATGTCATCGTGCCTCTACTGGGGCATTTGCTCAATGTGATCATGGGTCTGTATGTACCTTGCCTTTTGGTCGTTTAAAAACATAATGCCGGAGAAGGGCTCTTAAGACAGAGACCCTGACAGAGGTCAGCCTCTCTCACTCCATTTCTAGAAAAGCTCGTATGGGGAAAGCTTCAGCATCTCAGCCTGGCAGCGCAGAACCATCTAGAAGTTTGTGGGGGTTGGGGGGTAATAGTCGACGTAAATGGCACAACTTGCTGGAGGAGAGTTCAAAGTTTTGAACCCCCTCTCCCTCCTTCTCTTATTTCTCCCTCCCTTCCTCCTCCCCTCTCCCTGTCTCCTTCCCTCCCTCCCCCAAACAGCCATTATTGTCATCATGGGTTATATGCTGATAAATGGCTGGATGTGGCTCTTGGGGACAAGCTGCTGGGTTGGGTCCCCCATACCCCTCCTCTGCCCCCATCTCTCCTTTTCCTTCCTGCTGGCCTGTCTGAGCTGCAACTACACTGTGCATTCAAAAGCTGCCTCAGCTCCACCCCAGGGGTCCCAGGGTCCCAGGGAAGAGGCTCCCAGGTTTACTAGAGGGGAAGCTTCCGTGGGAAACAGGGCTTTGGGAACCAAGTCCTTCTGGGAGGGTGCTGTGTGCTCAGTCTCGGGGGGAGAAGCACCCAAGCAGCATTTCCTGCCTGACCCCTCCGAACACATGCACACGCACACACACATGTACACACACGCAGGCACGCACAATACACGCACACGCACACACATACATCACACATTACACACACATGCACGCACACACATGCACATGCACGCACATACATGCATGCTCACATGCACACACACACCCAATACATGCACACGCACACACATCACACACGCGCACGCGCACACACACGCACACACATGCACACACACATGCATGCTCACATGTACACACATGCACGCTCAATACATGCACACACACACATCACACACACATATGCATGTGCATGCACACACACATACATGCTCATATGCACACACACATTTCTCCACCCCAGGGAAAAATATCTAATGAATATCTCACGGCCAGAATACTGATCCGGATTCCTCAAAGGCAGTTGGTAATTATTAAATTGAGAGGATCATGAAGCACTTTCCTAAATTTGAAAGGCTTATCAAGGATAGATCAGGAACAGGTAAATTTAATAATTATAAACCCATTTCCATAGAAATGGACTTATTTGCAAGCATACCAGCTGCCTGAAAATAAAAGACCCCCTTCCTCCGGTTTGAGGGAAATGACTTAGAATAAACACTTGTTTATAAAAGTGACTCAGAGTTGATCATTATTCTGTTTGTAGTTGGACTGGGCAGATTCCTGTCGCTGATTCAGCTCATGGGCTGGACAGTCAGAGAGGGGCAGGAGGGGCCCAGGAAGGGAGAAGGGGGCTGGCCCTCTCACACAGACCCTGGCCCCTCTGCCCAAAGACCGGCTGCTTCTGTACGCCCAAGACCAGAGTGCAGATTTAGCAGGATTAAACTGCTGAGAACACAGACAGTTATGCTCCTTTTCTTCTCTTGCTGGGGGGTGGCGGGGGTCTCACTTTCTTGGCATTTGCCTTACTGAGGTCTACTGAATTCTGAGAACCCAGGAGGTATTAAAGCAGCTCCCAAATAATGGTTCCAAGCATGGTGCAGCCCAAAGAGGAATGGAAGATCTGGTCCAATAGGACCGAGTGTCTCCTGACTCAACAGATGGAGAAGTGAGGACTTGCTGTGGACCAGAGAGGAGACTTCAGTCTGGGAGAGGAATGGGGGTGGCTGAAGCAAGGGCTTCAGCCCCTAAGACCCTGAAATCCCTTTGGCCACTCAGAATCAGCCATTAGCTTCCCCTTGCTCTGCCTTCTCACCAAAGATGCCCAGGTAAACTGGAGTCCCCTGGTGGGGGTCCTCCTGTGTGCCCACTGTCGTCCTTCTCATGAAGCGAGGGATCTTTATGCCGTACACACTGTCTTCTCCGTGCAGAACACCGTGACGAGTAGATACTTGAGGAATCAGAGCTCCCATGTTCCACACCCAGATTAAGCTCAGCTGGGACACCCGGCTGTGTCATTTTAATAAATTTATGTTTCAATTTGAATAGCCATTTCTGGCTAGTGGCCACAGTATTGGACAGAGCAACATCAGAGAGTTTCTTAACACCTTGGCTGCATGGAAAAGGGTTGGACACAACCAATTCTATATGGAGTCTAGGGTGGTTCTGATTTGGGTGGAATTCTGTATTGAGCAGGTCATTTCTATAAATACTGTTACTACGTCTGAACCTTGCCTCTGGTACCTCTTGGATGCTTCTAACCATCCAAGTGTGGTTTTCACCCTCTTAAGTCCGCAGGTGGGAAGGGAGCTGTCCATGGTAGGAGATTTCTGGTGGGCAAGCAGCAAGTCCAGGTTCATTTTCAAAACTCTTCTGCAGAACCTGCCCACACCCTGAAAGACAGGTCAGAGGCTTCCAAGCCCATTTTGGTCCAGGCAGGCCCACAGGCAGTAAAGGGATAGGTTGGTTGGTGTGACTCAGGCCTTGCAGAACCATGAATCGGTCACTCTGCTGTCAGATTCCTTGGCTGGGGCTAAAGCTAGCATTAGGGTGATGGAAAAGGCTACAGAACAGGAGTCCTTCACAAACACTGTGCTGCATGGCTTCTGTTTTAACTCTCTGTTCAGCGACTTCTGCTGTTGGTACAATAGTCGGCCTACAATTTACAACATCCCTGTCAATGACAAGATGCTCCCTGTGTACAAAAATATTGAGAATGATGCTAGTCTTTTTCACGTTTATGTGTCCCATCCACCTTCTCCCCCTCTTCCAAACACATAGGCACTGCTGCCACTCCATGAATTAAGGCTGGTGGATTCTTACATCTCATCCCATTTCAGGGTCATGAAATGAGGAATCACTGTAGCATCTTATGTGTCACTCATAGTTTTGTAGTGAACCAGGGAATTACGGAGTCCTTCCCATGCTTGGTCTCATGACGGTCCCACTAGCCTGTGAGGTCACCACTGTTCTCCCAAAATCCTAAAACTCAGAATTTGAACCACTGGTCCATAGACACACAGCTAAGTAAATGTGGAGGTAGCCAGAGTCCAGGGTGTGCCTCAGGAATGGAGTGATGGTAGCACCAGACAAGAGGCTCAGGGCCACTTGCTGTGGGCACACATGGGAGTAGGGAGAGCTGTCTGACCTGCTTGTTCAAGGAAGAATGGTCTGTTTCTCACTGAGCCCTGCAGATGGGCTGCCCACCCATTTGGAGTTGTGGGTCACTGATGGACAGCCCACGAATTAGGCTCTGTCGACACTGCCATGTACTCTGTTGAAGTTGGCAACCACTCTTTCCATTGGCAAGGAGGAATGTGGCAATTTATCTCAGACTACTGAGTCTCAGGTTTTAAATTGCACTTCAACATGTGTTTGTTTTCCAGGGCAAATGGCTCCTTCTATGAGATCTTGCAAGTGGACTTTGGGATCGACAACAGCAGTGGCCTGGCCGGGGCCCAGCCCATCACCTGGCAGGTGGAGTATCCAGTGGAGGACTCTATGAGCGAACTGGCCGTCTCTGAGATCTTCGTCAGCCAGACATCCTTTGTGGGCATCGTCCCTCTTGTAATGGTGAGAAATCTGAGCTTCAGAAGAGGGTCACCAAGTGGTTTTCTTGGAGTGTTTTTAATGTTCAAAGAAACATGAAATGTTTTATAATCTGTTATTTTTTATGCACTTGAGAATGTTTAAGCAAGGGAAATACACTCAGATTACTTTTTGTTTACCTGCTTTCTATAATGCCTTTTTGGAAACGATTTGGGGTCCACAGCAAATCTCTTCTCCTTTGTGGATATTGGTGAACATTTCCTGGGGGCTCCTGTTCTTTATGGTCTGAATCTGGGCCCACATCAAGACCAAGTGCTGCACTGAGTGGAATGCACCAGGGGTGTGTGTGGGGACAGCGCTCTGCATGCTTCACTGGGCAGTTCCCAGCTAGCGTGTGGATGGGCAAGGTGAAAAATGCGATGGACTGAGGCAGCCTTGTTGGGAACTGACCAGCTGAGCCTGCATAAGGTCCCAGAGTCCATAAAACCACTTCCGTTTCTGCTCCTGGCCTGGAGGTGACCAGATTTTTCCTCTGAGCTTGGTTGAAGCTCCATTCACGACCAGGCTCAGGGGCCACATCTGAACACAGGGTTATGCTTGAGGTTCCAGAATGTAAAAAGGGCAATGCTGGTGATCCACAGGGATTATCAATCCCTGGGAGCACCACATTCCTAATACCTTTCCCACACTGGAAATGTTCAGTGGAACAGGAATTATTCTGCATTACTTTGGCCTTCCTCTCTGGGACCAAAGTGTAGGGGTCAGCACCCAGATATTCTAGGGAAGTCTGTGGGTGCTTCTATCAGCCGTACTCAAGTAGGATACCAGAGTTAAGATCCTTGCAAACGAAACCCCACACCTAACAATGAAGTCTGCAATTCGCCTATCTGTGTTCTTACTCTTGTCTATGCCTGAAACACACTTTCCCCATGTGTCCCATGCCTGGCTCCTCCCTTCACCTTGACTGTTAAGAGATGCCCCCTCCCCTGGCCACGTTGGCCAGAACTGGCTCTCTGCCTGCCCCCCCCCACCCCTGCTGTGCATGCCACCGCCCTGTTTCATCTTTCGTAGATGTTATTGGTGCAGGGCTCACCAACCATCTCCTCCCTACAAGGTGAGATCCGTGAGGGTAGGATTGATTCTGGTCAGTTGGGTCCACATCTGTGATCCCAGCACCTAGAACAGTGCCTGGGACAGTTACTATATGCTGTGAATGAATGTCAGCAAATGAATGAACCCCTTGCTTTAATCCGAGCTACTGGGCTCATCTAATTCTTGAAAGTTAGCCTGACGGAGTTTACCCACATCAGCAGCAATCTGCATTTTGGGTTTGGTGCAGCCACAGTCAGCAGGAAATGGCCCTGTTAAAGGGCAGAGATGGATGGATGTGGATTTTAAGGCAGAAAGAGACTGTTCTGATCCTCCAGATCAACCTCGATCTGGCTGAGACTGGCTTGCGTCTTTACTCTGAGTCCTTACACTGTTGCCCTGTGCTTAGTGTGCAGCACCCGATTCACTGGGGATTCTGTAGCCTCCTGTCGCTTCTGAGGCCGGAATTCCAAGGGAGAATGTCAGGCCCTCCTCGGATGGGCAGGTGCCAGTTCTGGGAGGAGCAGGAAAGGAGGCGGAACCGGGACGGGGTATAGACCCGTGGCTGGCCAAGTGCAGCACCCCACAGACAACCCCAGCCCGCTGGATCAGACACAGCCGTGGCCGTGCTTATGGACTGGCTATGCTGCTTTAACGCTGTCGTGGCGCGTTCCACGCCTGCCATCGTATGGCCTTGGCCCTACTTTAGTTTTAGCATCTCGCCCGCTCTAAGTCCCCTTCTGAGGGGAGCGCCTGGCAGTGGGGACAGTCATTTGGCTGTCACTGGGCTTCAGGGGTGTGCTGGTTGTCTTGTGACACCTCAGAGAGGTGACATCCTCTCTCACGGCCCCGGGCCGAGTGGGCTGTCCCTCCCAGGGTCAGGGCTCGTAGTGGGGACAGCACGGAGTCGGGGGGAGGGTTAGGAAGGAAGAGTCTGGCAGAGCAGGAAAAGCAGGCATTTGGAATGTGGTCCTAGATCAGGGGTTGGCTTGGACGGTCTCTCTGCGGGGGCCGGTGCTTCCTGGTGGGGCGTCTGTGCTCCTGTGTCTCACTGACAGGCGCCTGGGCACAGCGCGGGGTGTGGAGTCCCACGGGTGCTGGCGTGCTCGCCGCCTCCGGAGACTTCTCTGCGGCCCTCCCTCAGCCACTGCCATTCCATCCCCTCAGGGGCCGTGCCCGCGCCTTGCCGCTCCAGGGAGGCTGGGTCTATGTGTGTGGTGCATGAGGCATGGCTCTGACCACTGACGCCGCCCGGCGCTCCCCATCTGGCTGATCTTTACTTAGGGATGGTTTCCCGCATTGGGCTTTAACTCCTCTTGGCAGGAGAACGCCGGGGTTGGATGGTTGAGTGGTGTTGGGTGTCACCATCTATCTCTTGGATCATTGTGAAGAGTGGCCCTGAAGTGACCCCAGGGACCAGAGCTATTCCGTGAAGTTTGCCGTGGGACCGAAGTTGGTAGTTTCTCTTTCGATCAGTTGGTTCAGCCGCACTCCCCGGACCCACAGCTGCCAAGGGGAGAGTTCTGCGTGCCGTGCCTAGCAGGGGGTACCTTCTAGGTGCTTCTTCCTTTTCCCTCCCCTTCCCCCTCCTCCCCTCCCCCCCCCCTCCCCTTCCCCCTCCCCCCCCCCCTCCTTCCCTCCTTCCTCTCCTCCCCCCCTTCTTCACCTCCTTTCTTCCTTCTCGGTGGCAACTAACTCTGGACCACTTCTGCACGATGTAAGGGTGCTACATGGCTTGTGCACAGAACATCCACAAATGGGCTTGTTGTTGTATCAGTTTGTACCCAGAAGCAGAAACCACTTTAGGAGCGAGAGCAGAGTGATGTAAGCCCAGGCACGCAGCTACGCAGGAATTAGAATGGATGAGAAGCCAGACACAACAGAAGAGTCGGGAACCCTGGCCAGAACAAGAGTCCACTGGACCTGGGGCTGGAGCAAGAGGAGGTGTTCCCGGGAACCAGGGCTGGGTCACCTGAGCAGCCAGAACCCAGCAGGGAATGCATCTGAAGCCACACGGGCTCTGGTTGATGCTGTCGTCTTGCTGGTTTTATTGCACAACACGACTCTTTTGTCCCAAAATGTGTCCTGTTCTTCAGAATCTTGTGCATTTGGAGCACAGCCACACTGAGTCCCGGGCCTGCCCAGAATGGTCCACTTGGCTGGTTTCTGGTCTCTTTTCACCTTAAAACTCAACTCGAGAGGCCTCTCCTGGCCACTCAGGCAAAATTAGTTCTGTCCTCCTTATATTCTTGCTCACCTGCCTCTTGTAGATCATACCACTGTCTGCAGTTCATGCTTATTTATGTGATTGTGCATGTCTGTCTCAGTCTGGCTCCTATCATGAGAAAGCACTGAACCGGAGAAAGTTTAATATAAAGGGTTATTAATTATAACAGAGACTGGAATGACAAGGGATTGCTTGGTAAGAAGTGAAGAGAACTCTGAAGAATGTCCGAATGGCAGCCATCAGGAGCATCCACTGCCCCAGGGCTGAGCTAGAGTGCTCAAGGAACAGCCCCCCCCCCCCGAGATCCAGCCCTTGTTGGAGAGGGTGTGGTCCCAGCTCATCGAACGTGGAGAAGTTGCCGAGGTAGCATGCCGGCAGAACTTGCTAGAATTCTGAAGACTGCTCTTTACAGAGAGGTGTCTCATCAGAGGCATCGGAAGCACCAAACCACTCAAGGTGGCTGCTGGGTAGAGCTGCCGGGTGCTGGGTGCTGCGGGAGCTGGACCTGAGGGGGGCTACCAGTGCTGCAGAAGTCACAGCACGTGCACGGCGGCAGCCGGCAGACAGAGTGCACCAGAGTCCCAAGGCAAGCCCTTCCCCTCAGAAACGTCTGTCCGACATCCCCACTGACAAAGCTCAACACCTTGCCTTTTGGCAAAGGAAAAATATATTAAGGGCTCAGATCCATTTTCATAGAACAGGTAATGCGGGGTGAATTTGGAGCCGGGCAGCAATAGATTGATAAGCAGAAACTGGATCGCAAGCTCCTGGATGGGAGGGACCATGTTTGCTCTGACCACTGGGGGCTTTCTCAGCACCTTGCATAGTGCCGAGTATACAGTATTTGCTCAACAAATAAATGGATGGTTACATTTACCATCAGAGCCCAAGTCCACTGGCTGAAGCTCTCATTTGCTGTGTTAATCTCCTTTTGCCACACTAACAAATCACTACAAACTTAATGGCTTAAAGCAACAGAAAGTCATCATCTTATAATCTGGAGGCCAGAGCCTGAAATGGGTCTCACTGGACTAAAATGAAGAACTGCATCCTTCCAGAGGATGGGAAGGAGAATCCATCTGTTGCCTTTTCCAGCTCCTGGAGGCTGCCCACATCCCTTGGCCCGTGGCTCCGTGTCACTCAGACCTCTGCTTCTGTCATTACGTCTCCTCTCCGACCCTCCTGCCTCCCTTGGTCCCTTATAAAGACCCTTGCTATGGCACGGGGGCCACTTGGATATTAGCCAGAAAAATCTCCCCATCTCAAGAGTCTTCACTTTCCCTCTTGCCATGTAAAAGTAACATTTCCATAGATTTTGGGGATTATGATGTGGACATCCTAGAGGGGCCATTATCACCCCCCCACCTGCCTTGTGCAGGACCCCAATCTCCCCTTTCTGCCCTTCCTCAGGCTGTTTACCCAGAACTCTCCATCCCTCTTCCCATGATCTGTTCTTTTGTTGCCTCCCCAGGCTGTTGCCTGAGGAGCTTCCTGGACCTCAGTGTCATCCGGAGCCAACCCACCACCTCTGACGTCTCCAGGCTCCTGAAGACACTGCCCTCCTGGGAAGAACTCTGCACTCTGCTCTTCCAGAAGATCCCACAGCAGAGCCCCCACAGGCACGGTGATCACAAGCCTCTTCGTTTACATAGACGGCCTTTCATCCTGGAAGTTAGGGGCTCCCATGGGGCTGGGGCTAAGGAGGCTC